TTTATATTTAATTTTTATTTAAAAAAAATAAAGTTTTAGTTTTTTAAAATAATTTTTGTTAATTAAGAAATTATTATAAATTATCATACATAAAATGTAATAAAGATTTTATTAATATGTACATTCTTTTATTTTCAAAATAATATATCATTTTATTAAAAAATTATCTTCATGATTCAATTTATTCTTCGAGATTGCTCAATATGCCCCATGCGATCCATTGAGCTACTTTGTCTCTTTTAATCAACAAAAATTTGTTCTTATTTACGAAATATAAATTAAGGATTTATAAATACTTAATTATTGTGTGATGCAATGTTTTAAAGTAATTCTCATTGTTCAATCATAATTATGTAAAGATTTAATAATTTGAATAAAAAGTGTCACAACTAGCCCCGCTTTATCTTATTCTAGCTTCAGTTTAGGATTGTGTTTCACCAAGAATAAACAAATATAATTAACGCGCAGTTTGCTAAAATTTACATAAAAATATTATAAAGACGAGTTTTTTTTAAATTTATCGATAGATCAATCTCATTATGCGCAAATGCAACTTTACTCCGTAAAATGATGTACGTTTTTTAATTCATTAATTAATAAATTAAAGAACTTGTTTTTATTTTGTAAGGTATCAAAAGTATCATTGGTCGTTTTGACTCGATAGCCTTTTTCGTTCATTTGTATTTGAATATATTTCACAGTCAATTTTCACTTAATATTATTTATTATTATTTATTTCTTTGGTCCTTTTATTTATAGTAGCGAATTCTCAAACCGCTACCTTGTCGACAGCGCATTTTACCGGCCTGACGTTGGCGACATTATCCCGACGTTCGATGTCGGTTCGGTCGGTCGGTCGGCAGTGACGATTGTTTACACGATGGCGTCCGGCGGTGGTACGTGTTCTTATTTTCTATTTCCGCGTAACCATGGGCCGGTCCGGCCATCGCTCGGCCAGGCCCGATGTTCGAAATCACGCTCTAATAACGGTCATTCACTGTTTACTTTTTTTTTAACGACAGAAAACGCGACCGAGGAACGGACGGAGGCGTCAACGCCGGCTCAACCCGTTGCCAATGCCGTATCCGAGACGACCCACGTAAGTGAGCACATAACCTAGAAATGTCGCAACTGCTAAAATCGCACACGCACGAACATACGGCGATATTTCGTTGACGTTATCGCCGAATGTGTCTACCACGGCAATACTCGCGATACATTTAAGAATCCACGCGTTCACGGCGCAAAGGTTAGGTTAGGGACTTTGACAGTTTAAGACGGTCAGAGCAGCATCATTATCGTTTTTATCATTTGACGTTTGCCAGCTGATAACAAACTGTCGTGCTAGAATATTAATATTTTTGCAAATTCGAAGCATGCGTTTCGAAACTAAGAATTACACGTACAACAACAGTTTGTAAAATGTACGCAGATATTACAATTCTTTAATTATTAAGTACTTTTGGAAAAATTCTTTATAAGTGTATAAACTTTTTATTCTTTTTCATTGCAGAAAGTGATAGGGATGGATAAGGATGGTGAATTGTCTGGTGTACCAGCAAAGAAACCTCGTGTCGAAGTGCAATCTCTTCCAACCAGACAGTATTTAGATCAGACCGTAGTACCGATATTGCTTCAAGCATTGTCATGTCTGGCCAAAGAGAGACCCGCCGATCCTATAAGTTTCCTCGCCGGTTATTTATTGAGAAACAAGAATCAGTACGACAGCGGCGGTTCGCCGCCGACTAGTCAATGAATGCTTCCTCGTCTGTGCGTGCCCGTTTTATGGAAATTCGATGAACATTTCTTCGTAAGAAATCTTTTTTGATTTTTTAAATACATATTTATGATAAACATATATACTTTTGTATTTTCGTATATGAAATAAAAAATATGTTAGCTTTTTACTGTAGGGATGACAACGATGCATAGATGTACGAAATATCTGGATGGAGCATATTGCTATGGGGTTGAAGTTCAAGGGGAAAGAATAGTAAAATCATCAAGATGACAATGACGGAGTGGAAAAAAACGGGGCGCATTATATTACACTACTTGACTTATCTACAATGTCGTCGTGTTTAATGTTGTTCAGTTAAAGGTGTCTTGTTTGATCACATTGCGACCACAGTCACTTATAGCGATCAATGCTTGGAGTATTTCCACTGTTGTGTTGGACAGACACTAGAAAGTTTTATATTAAATTATTCAATTAGCGATATGGACACTGTGCCTCAGTTCAGGCTGCAGATCAATCAGTTATGAAACAATGTACTATTATGCTTCCTATAAATATATATATATATATGCTTCCTATAAATTGCCAAAACTAAATCGAGTCACTACACATACAACTGTCCTACGATTAGAAACAATATTATGATCGCTCTTACGATTTTAAACGAACTGCATTGTAGACTACGTTTTACACAACTGTTCACAAACACGACGCTATGTGTCTCTGACAGAACAATCAAGATCGATTTTTTCCACAATCTCTCAAGCTTCACTCTCTTGGCCTAAAAGGGTATTTTACACTCCATCCAGGTATCTCATACGTCCATGTTTTAGCGAGATAAAATTGTTCTGAGTAATGTTAATTAGTCTTGAATTAAAAACAATTTTTAATATTGAAATTATTTTAAAAAATATCGTTTTCTCTGTACGAAAAAGTAATGTTAAAAATTAGTTTTAATTACGATATCATTTTCAAATTGAAATATTTGTTAGAAAAAAAAATCGGTCTAATTTTTCTATATGCAAGCGTTTAAATAAAGAAAAATGAAGAAATCAAACATATCATTTTTTCTGGAAAGATATGGCAAAATAATGTATGAAGAAACATATTTCTTTGATTCACTTCTTTACAAATCCGTAATGCAAAAGTACGAGATAAAGGGCAGAGAGAAGGACCACTACCATCGGTTCAATAAATCGTAATGAACCCTCTGCACTCGCGTTGATTTTAATTGGAACGGCGATTTAATTGGAGGCAATTAAATGTAATCGCGCAATGAATCGGGGTTAAATTTATCTCGCGCTCCAATAAAATCGATAATTTACATCAGAAACGTGCAACGCTCGCGAGCTATACACAATTGCGAAGAGAAAGCGAAAAGGAAAAGAGACTGCCTCGAGGGCATTACGTTTTATTATTCTTCACGTCTTATTTCGTTTTCTCGTTGCGATTTTCGTCTCAACGAAAACTCGTCTGGTTGGTCTCATCGTCTGGGTAATTGGACTCCCTTCGGGATCGTCGACGAGGAACAAGGAAAAGAAAATACACGGGTAGCGACGTCCGATTGTGCCACTTGGGCTTTAAATGACGACGCGAGAAGATATCGGGGTAATTTCGTGGCCGACAATTCGCACGGCGACATCATCGGACCTGGTCCAATTAACGGCAAAGGATCCTCTTGCCTGAGTTCTCCTCGTATATCCTCTCGTAGAACTCTCGATCCTTACCGTACTACACCCATACATTGATCGTCAACTCTTAGTTCTTTGTTTCGTACCCATTTAGTTGGAAGACTCGATGCGTTTCTGCGGTGATAAGAAACATACTGAGCATATTTTTACTAAACCTAACTTCACTAAAGTACCTTACGATGTACTTTACCAAGTAATCTACTCGTCTTTGAATTGTTAAAAGGTTCATTCACGGAAAGGATTTCGTGGAAAGCTCTAATTGTAAGAATGTCATAAAACAAGAAAAACAAAGAAAAGAGTAAAGTAACTTTATTTTTATTCGCGGCGAGAGCTTAAAACCTTTCTTTCATTTTTATTATCCGTCACTTATGTAATGTAATATAATTTTAGATTTTAGAAAAAAATCGTTAGTTTTCAACAGTTTTGATTTATATGTAATTTTGTACATGACGATATGGAGGTGGAGCGTTTTTTTTTGCGATAAAACGCCATAGGAATCGGTTTAAATTTCATCGGATAAGTGAAGGACTAGTACATTTTAGTGTTTCATGTGATTGCACAATGTGCGAGTGCATTGTCGAGCGACGCAGTTTGTAATATCGGTTCTGTTTCTGTATATTCAGAGTGAAATTTCACCGTTCGCCGTTCGTTCCCACAACGGATTGCGAATAAACGCGCAAAAGCGGAAAGTCCACGCTCGCGGCACAATGCGGAAGTTCGACGGGACTGTCAATGACGCAGTGACATCCACCTTCACCTTTTTTCACTTCCTCACGCGCGTGAAGCACAATAGTTTCCACGTTGATATCATCTCCTCTCCATATTCCTGTTCGCCGTGCTTTTTCAGCTTCAGAACTGTGTGTAAGTAGTTTTATATGCAATGTTAGAATACATATGAAAGCATAGAATATCTCAAAAGCGTTTTTTCTCGGGTAGATGATGTGATGAATATGGATCTGAATGAAATTTTATTAAAAAAACAGATAGGATAATTTTAAACAGAACAATAATAGTTAAATTTAGATATGTAATAAGAATCTGACTATTTTATTATATTTAAAAAAATTCTAAGATATATTCAATGTTTTTATTTATTTACAATTTATGCTATTTTAAAAAGTGCTTTTTGTAGCCGTCTTCTTGATTGACAACGTTATATCCAGGATAAAAAAAAGCTTGTTTAAACAGAGATAGTAAATTTGATAGATAGCAGCCGGTGTAATTTTCGGGAGTTCGGTGTTACGGGCACACAGATACGTAATGAAACGCGACGACTGACGCATGGTTACATTTTTACGTATCTACCGTTGTAGAGCATCGAATTCCACGTCTGCATCGAGAATTGAACTCGCCGAAATTGTACCGATTTCAATACTCGCTTTCTATATACATCGAGATTCCGGACAGATATCTTCCCTCCTGTTCTATTCTATATCTATACTATTCATGCTGGTCGTACTCTCGATATGCGTGCAGTAATCACATCCGATGCCAGATCAGCAGATTTCGAAATTGTGCTAACAGTGACCATGACCACATCATGTGTCGAACGTGCGATTCGAAAGATTGGCGGGCCGTGGTGTGTGTGTGTGTGTGTGTGTGTGTGTGTGTGTGTGTGTGTGTTTTTTTTTTATATATATATATATAGAGTATGATAGTTCCGGGTCGTATATTCTTTCCGGAGCCGCGAGACTCTTACTCTCTTATTGTGGCTCATCCTCTTATTACGCATATACGCGCGATATGCGTATGTTGGGGATGCGTCTGCTGCACGTATGCAGTGGGCACTGCACCCAAACAATTCATGGGTAATCGAGAGCCGTGGCTAATGGGCGAACCGTGTCACGGTTTTCGTCGGGGCGTGCAGGTTCGGCCTGCCGGTTCGCGCCTGCACGCCCGCACTCGGAAGGACTCGGTCCAATTGGCACGCATATTGGAATTCTATTACCGGGATTACGGCCGGTAATTGCTCGGTTTAGCGCAATATCGCACGGCCGTCTGTGCACGCCGTCGAGCCGCGTCGCGACGCTCCGGCAGGCCGATGGCGATCGTCCAGCGCGTGCAGGATTATCCGCGCGCCTGATTGCCGCTCGCGCGTGCGTTCCCTCATTACGATCAACGACTAATTAGTGGGGCACCAAATGATGGATACTAAAAATGTTCATTTCCTGCTCTATCGTATTATCATTGTTGTCTTTAAACGCGCGGGGTAATTAAAGCTCGGATAATTATAATAAATCGGACCTTTTCTCTAGCGAGATATTTTACTGAAAGAAAAAATAATTGCAATTATCATAATTTGTTATCATTTTCGATATCAATTATACATTTTTTAGTTTTAGAACTATCATTACATAGGCATATAAAAAAATCTTTTGATCTAGATATTAGACCATGCTGTGTTATTAATATTATACTAGTATTATAAAACAATTATAAAAATGATGCTTCTAATTATAATTATTTGCCGTACAACTATAATCTTAAATACCAAACACTTTTCTCTCAGTATAATAATTTTAAATACCTTTATCAAACGGACGTGGACATAATTATTATAGATAAATGATATTAATAAATTTTTAACTTTGCTACGACTATTCATAAAATGCTATTCTCGTGTCAATGTGTGTTCTTGAGATTTCAGATTAACATTCATAAATAGGATTATCTAATGGATTAATAATATTAATGTAAACATAGCTATCTATTTATTTGCTTCTATGCCGTTTGATTTTGACTTGCATTTGAGATAGATAGCTCGAAAGCTTAGCAAGTTTGTGATGTACAACATCCTTTGTAGGGCCCAATTAGGCAATTGCTAAGACGCGATTGCTAAGACGGATCGTGGAGCGGTTTTGGCAAGTGAAAGCTAAGATTGATTAATTAATGCGATGAAATACTGCAAATAATTAAATAATGCAAGTCCCTGGGGCTATTCGCGTATAGGAGTCAAAGGACCGCAATATTTGCAATTAGAATATTGATGTGTAGGAATTATGTATGTAGACCTTTAGAGACAGAATTTAGTAGATTTTTAAAAATGTGTATTAATTTCGATTGAATCGATTGAATTGATGATACAAGAGATAAAATTTAAGTATTGTTGATAATACAAAATTATACGTTATATATTTTTTTCTAAATTTTTTTATTAAATATGGACGTGAATACATCGAACAACAAAAAAAAAATATAATACATAGTGCAATGGTAAATATTTTTGGAGGAATAAGCGTTTGACATAATATTTTACAATCCTACGGTTTAACGTTTCTCTGCATCAGGTTTTTTTCCCGTATTATACAAAAATCACGGATTTATAGAGCGATTTTTTTGAAAGTGAGTGAGTGTGCGACAGGAACAGTGGACGAAATCGCTGACGTTTCCGATCGGCCAGAATAAGAATACAAGTCTTATGAAGTGCAGCAGTATTTTTCGAGATTCTTTTCACCAATGCGGTACGGGATTATATAAAATGTTTCTACGTAACCGAGAACTCCGTCGCAGTTCTCTGCTTTGGCGGGGTGTCGAGGAAAAGCGCTTACCCGGCAAATTCGCGTTGGCTAAAGTCCTTCTTTCTCTCATATTTTTTCGTCGCTTGAGTTTTATCTGATAACGGCAAAAATATTTTTCGGCCTCGACCGTGGAAGATGATACACGATCTTTTGTTGTCACAGCAAAAAACCGAAACAATAAATATCGATATAAATTCGAGTCTATTTTTACGATTAACTGTGTTTCGAGAGTACTAACCTTTATAGTCATCGCAGACGATTTGCGTTTATATATAAGAATTTATAAAATATTGAAATTCAAGTTTTATTATTATTCATTAAATTAAATAAATTCTTTATGTTATTTTCGCAAACTGTTGATATGAGAAATGTTGATTTGGATCATTGCACTGAAATTGCAATCTCGTTATTCCAATATTGGATTGTAAATAATCCAATAATCGCATAATACAGATACTTTGAATAATTACTAGCTTTCTACATCGAAGTGTTCGAATATTTGAATTTCGGAGTAGAATTGCGCTACTGTCTGAATATATGAATATCCAAATGGCATCAAAATTCGGATTCGTTTTGTAGATTACAAAAGCATTTTGCTTTTGCGAACGCAGGAACTTCTCCTCTCTTTGATTCATCGCAACGTACCGCGGGAGATAATCACGGGAAAGCGCAAGTTGGCGCTTTTGAACGGGTTAATTCGCGAAGTGGCATTATTTCCGACGAGATAGCCGCGTTTCGGGGACGGTCACTTCGTTATCAGGCAACCGCGCGCAGTCAACAACGGCGACCTCCGCGGTGCGACGCTGGCAACTTAAATATTTGTCGGAGATTATATTCATACCTCGGGT